CAATAATGATACACAAGAGAAGAGATAATGAAATACACCTACTTTCTAATGAAAAAGAGATGAGGGATAACTAGGCCAGAATATTTTACACCTTGTAAAAAACAGTCTACATTGGCTGTTTCTGCTTAATCATTTTCCTTTGTCAAAAGGGAAGGTTCCAATATGGATGGATAGGTGAAAAATGACCATGATAAAAAGACAAAAGCCATCAAAAACAAAACAAAACAAAACACATATTTAAAACTTTTTTTTTGAGTGCTTTAGCTATAACTACCAATCATGAGTCAGAAGAAATGAGAAAAGACACCTCCATGTATTTTGTTGGAGGTGGGGGACTATGGGTATGAAATGTCACATGCAATGCCCTGAATCAACGTGTGAGCTGGTTTTGCTTAGCGACTTTTTCTTCCTTTGTTACAAGGGAAGGCTCAAAGCTCAGGATAGCATAATGGAGTACATCAGAAATGGCTGAGATATAAAAACAAAAGATATCAACAGAATTTTTAAAATGTGATTTCCCTCCAACATCAGTATTTAGGAGAAATAAAACTTATTCAAATTTCATAACATATATACAATTATTTTCTATAGTTTAATTACTAACATTGAAATAATGTATTTTTCAAACTATCTTCCTTCAAAATGCACCATTATTTTAGCCATCTTATTCAATTCAATTCAACAAACATTTATTCAGTAATTATTATGTGTGAGTCACACCAAGCCAGTCTAGGGACACCAAGATAAAAAAAAAATTCAAGTCTTTGCCCTCAAGGCACATTATATTGTGCACAAAGTAGGCTCTTGTGGACTAATCCAGGGGGCAAAAAAATGTCTAATATTATTCCTATATGGAAACATATCCTTAATGTTTCTATTAGCTTCTTCTCAATTCTCATCCTCCTTGACCTCTCTGTAACATGACACCAATGAAACCTCTTTCCTCACTGGGTTTTCCTCACACTACACTTTCCTGGTTCTCCTGTTTAAATGTTCCGTCTGATGCTGCAATGCTAATTTTTCATCATCATAACATGCCCCTTGACTATGGATATTCACCAAGACTCTGTCCTGAGCCTTTTCTTTTCTTTCTAATATTGCACTGGGTGATCTCATCAGTTTCCCTATGGTTCAATTGTCATCTTTATGCAGGTGACTTCAAGATCTACATGTTTAGCCCTAATCTCTTTCCACAGCTCTAGTTTCTACATCACAAACTGCCTATTGGATCAGATAGTCTCATAGGTCCTTTTCAGCTCTAAATTAGATCTCAAATGAAATGTCCAAAATAGAAATTTCTTTCCCTCAAAAACCCAACCCTCTTCTGAACTACCCTACTACTGTCAAGGATATCGCCTTCTTTCAGTCACCCAGGTTTTTAATTCATTACTCTCACTCACTCCATATAACTCATCTGCTGTTGGCTACATCTTATCATTTCTATCTCCATAATATCACTTACTTAATATTACTTACATAATATCCCTTACTTATCTCCATAGTATCCCTTTCATTCTACTCAACATGTCTAGTAGATCAGGACCGTATCACTTCTCACCTGAACCATTCATTGTAATACCCGTCTAATTTAATCTCCCTACCTTAAGCCTCTCTCCATAGTAATCCATGAACCACACATATGCCAATGGGATTCTCCTAAAGAACAAGTCTGACACCACTACTCAAATTCCAATAGCTCCCTATTACTTCTAAGATCAAATATGAACTCTACTTGAAAGTTCAAGTTCTTCACAAGATTCTTTCCTACCTTCCTGGTCTCCTTAACCATTATAATGTGAGCTCTTTGAGGGCAGGAATCATATTTTTACCTTTCATTGCATCGACTAGCCAAAGTTTTAAGCTGTTAATTAAAAAGAAACTCTGAGCTATAGAGTTTAGAAGTACAATTCTCCCTTATAACATTCGAATTCTATGGAAATGGTTATTTCAACAACACCTGCAAATCACTTCTGCCAAGAGAAGCTTGCACACTACTGCATGCCCATGGCATTTGTGTGTTATCCTTGAATGGCAGACTAGCTGACCTTGTCCCATCTCTAGTATCCTCCTCGCAGTAAAAGGTAGTCTTATCTTATACCCAGACACCTGTGAGTCTGCTGCTCCAAGTTCACTGTCACTGGCCTATGGATGCAGCTTGGACCTATGAATTCAGAAAAATATTCCTTAGAGACAGAGAAAGGTTGCCCTGATTCCACATACTGTGTATGCCCACTTTCATTAACATAACCAATCATGATCCCTTACCCCCCATGATGCTGCCAATATTATAACCAATAGTATGATCTCTTCACCTATTCTGAGCTGTTCTTTGTTCTATGCCTATAAAATGGAGTTGCATATTCAGTTCTTGGTCTTTGGCTAGAAATTGAGGCAGCCCATCTTAGTCTAAGGTTCATACCCTGATAATAAAATGTTATCTTGCTAAAAGAAACTTCCCTTGGTTTACCTTAAATTTCACTCACAACAACTGACACTATACCCTACACAAAATCTGTGGCCCAGCCACACAGGCCTACCTGTTATTCCACACACATTCTTTTCTCAATGCCTTTGTCCTAACTTTCCCCATACCTACAACGTATTCACTCCTCACTCCTACTTCTTGGACTGTCTGGCTTACTTCAAGATTCAGCTCAACTGCAACCATCCACATGAAGCTTTTCCTGATTCTGCGGGGCACCATCCCAAAACATTAATTGTGTGTGTACGTGTGCATGTATGTATATATGTCTGTATAATACACACACACACACACACACTCTCTCTCTCTCTCTCTCTCTCTCTCTCTCTCTCTCCTTGAATAGAATGCAAGCTCCTTAAGGGCCAAAGCTGTTAAACTTTTGTCTTTGTATCCCTACATCTTGGCACAGTGTCTGGCACCTAAAAAAGGGGTGGGGGTGCAGGGGAGTTGGGAGAGAGAATGGAAGAATTTAATAAATGTTTGTTGATTGAATGATTAATCAATTAATTCCAAGATAAAAATAATATGTAAATCAACTTTTGGACACAACTCATTCTCAGGTTAGAATCTGGATTCCCTGGGCACCAGGACCAGTCCTTACATGTAGAAGAGGTAAGTGACAGACATAGGGCAATCTTTAACATAAATACTAATACATTTCAGGACCATTCAAGAAAATGATGAGATTTGGTACAAAAAAAAAAAAAAACCTACAATGAACCAGAACACAACTACCTAGATTCTGAGGACAAGATAGTAGCACCAATTTTCTGAAACCAAGAGATTCTTAGATAGTTAGAGAAAGAAGGTTTCCTTCCTTTGGAAGACATACCCATTTGAAAGTATGAAACTTTTAGAGAATTTTAAAAGTACAGCTTAACTTTGTGTCTAGAAGGAAGAAGATGAAGACTGGGTTGGTATTTTACTTTTTTGACACTGCCCTAGAAAAAACTTTATTTAAACTCAATCTATATCATGTTGATGAGCTATAAAAAGTTTATATACATACACCATCACATCACCTAAAACTATGTTAACAGACATTTATTTTCCAATAAGATTATACAAATGTCTCTTGTTTTTAGTGATAATGGCTGTCTTCTTATTTACTGAGCTTTTTAATTTTCTCAGCTATAAAAAATTTGAATAGCAATATCTCACAGGGTTGTTGTTGTTGTGAGGCTCAAATTTAATTATTTATTTGAAACCTCAGAGAATTATTTCATTATCATCTACTACAGCTTCTCCTCTTCTTCCTACTAAAAAGAAAACACATTGAAGATTGTTTAGCTCCCAACAACACTCTATCATAAATACGTTCTCAAGTTAGCCTAAGATAAATCAACCATCATTTAGTGTGGGAGTGTTACCTACAAACTGACCTGAAAACACACAAACTTAGTCAATGAAATAAAATGTGTAGCGTTTCTCTACTATTTAGCAATGAAACCTAGTGCTACTGCTAAGTTGTAAAGAATATAATGTTAATAAAAGTTTATTACATTGACTTGAATGTTCATATGGACTATTTGTGCCCTACCTATCTAGCGCCCTCCAAGCTCATATTGGTCTGATCAGCCGAAGTCAGACACATATGATCCCAACATAATGATGTCATTTTGGTCCTCTTCAAGTAAGAAGGACAACCACCAAAGAGGAAAAAAAATTAAATCTTATTGATTTAAATAAGATTTAAATAAATGTGTCCTTGATGCTTTATTACACAATTATAAATTTTTTCATAAACTTCTAACATTTCTATCTATGACTATATAAAGCACATGAAAGTAAGCACTTAGGTTAAAGTAGAAGAGAAGTTGCCTCAAAACATGCAATGTAAAAGGGCAGGGCAGTGTAGGAGATGAGTTAATTTTCCAACTGAAAGACATCTGGAAACCTTTTGGGAAGGACAAGGAAGGAAGAAAAAAAAAGGAATGTCTGGATTATTCCATAGAAATTAGAAAGACTCAACAGTCTATAACTGAAGATATGACTAAAGAGTTTCAAGAAAAGGCAGACAATTTTTTTGAAGCTGGTTTTCCACTGCTGATTCAGGTCTCACACACATTTCACTGGTGTAACATTTCAAAGCAAGAAAACAAACGAAGGCTAAAAATGGTCTTTGTCATCATGTGCCGGTGGAATACCTCAATAATCAATGCTCAAAAAATGAGGTACCATTTTCTGAACCCAGAGAATGAGCTTTTAGAATACAGTAATGCTTTATCAAGGAGCTCAGCTGCAGTCAGGGTAGAGCCAAAAGCTGAATGCATCCTAAACACCAACCTGATAAAACCACTAGTCATTACACAGGCTGGCACCACACTAGCATCTGTGACCTGTACCTGGGTTCGCAATCTTCTGTCCACCCAGCCAGTGACAAGCACCCTCCCAGGTCCTGTTGCATTCCAAGTCCCACTGAGAACAGTATGAGGCAAGTGATTGCTCCCTCCCCTCACCTCACCTAACCCAGTCCCAGAGACCCAAAGGGAGGTGCAAGTCCCAAAGGAGCACTCACTTGCATGTTTGTCCGCCAGGGCAATCAGGGTGCTTGAGATGTCTCTCCTTCTGTAGAAACACACCACCTTGGCCTCCACATTCCCATTGGCTGTCTGTAATGGTGAAGGCACATGTGGGTTTGAGAAGCACAAAACATAAAATGCCAACTAAGTCATTAACTTTCTCCATGAAGTTGTGCTATATTGGCCTGAGATAATTCTGAGGTCAGCAACTGCCACTGTCCAGTCCTTTGATCCCACTAGAAATCCAAAGTATATCAAATGTGCCCAATGACACAAGCTTTCCCATTAAGGGAAACGAAAGAGAGATGGCTGCCTATTCTGTGTGGTCTTTCCTATCATGACTGTACAGAATGATTCTGTGGCAAAACTCAAATGGTGTCAAACTCAAATAGAAACAGATCTCTGGGGACCAAAAAACAACTTAGAAAACCACAAATTAACAGTATCTATGTTGTACTGTATTTTATTTATTTTAACATTTCCCAATTGCATTTTAATCCCAACTGCACTTGGAAATTTTGGTGGTAGCATGGAGGCCAGGCAAGACTGACACCTCTGGCATAGCACCATATTGACTTCAGTGCATAAATATGAGAAATGGAGAAAAAAAAATTCAGCCTTTTCTTTTTTAATCCAACCCTTTTACAAGAAGAAATCTGACAAAAGGAATGAGTCTCCATTTTTATACAGAGTTCAAATCCCTTAAAAGAAGGCCTGTGTTGTTAGAGTCCACAGTCTCTCTATATACTGAAAAATATTAATGGTGTTTCCTAGTATGGAGGAAAACATTTGGATTTTTTTAATCTCAAAAACTATTCTCGATGACAAAACAGTATAAGCAATTTCTCACAAGTTTAGTCAGAGTTAAAAAAAAAGATTCTTCACAAAAGTTAAGGCCATTAATTGTCAGGTGAGAAAGAAATGTTGAAAGAAGCTTTGGAGCTAAACATCTTGTCTAAAGTTAGTACTAGCAGTGGTAAACTGTATAGTAACAGACAGAAGGACTAGAAAAAGAAATATGAAAGGACACAAAAATGCTAGAAAATAGGGTAGGGAAAAAAGGAAACATGACCTGAAAATTCAATTCATACTTCAGAGAAAAGGTAATACAATGTTTATTGGGAGGCAACTATAGATGAAGAGTAGCCTGAGAAACACTGAGGGGCAATGGAGAAAACAAAATTCATGGAGGGCGAGAGCCTACAGAAAGTCTACTCTTAATGACAACCAGAAAAATGAATAAAGAGGAACAAAATGCAACTAAGATCACTAAAGAATACCTGGGAAGTGGATAATAGTTTCCCACCTAGACTGTCCTGAGGGTCATCACTGGGTTCAGAAAACTGGGTAGTGTGATTCTGAGTATATCTTCCTATAACTCACAGGACCTTTATTTTCAAGAAATGTTCTAATTAAAATACTCTTACTATTATCCTGAAGATCTTTATTTCTTCTATTGATTTTTCTGTTCATTCCCTTCTGGAATTACACAGAGACATCAAGGGCCAATGGAAACGTTTGCCCTAGCAAAATTTGAGACAATTTGGCCTACCACCATACAGATCCCAGATCTTCAAATACTGTCAGATTCAAGGTCTTGGCAGGGGGAACAGAACTCCTAGCATAAAAAAAAAACAAGTTACGTTTGGAAGAGGAAAGATAGCTTCTCCCTTTAAACGTGAGCTTCTGGGATACACAGAAATAGATTATTTTTATTATGGGAAAACATAAAGGAACATAACTGTCAGCTTCTGTAGGGCAGAAATCACCCTTTTGCAATTAAGTCAAGTGCTCTTCACAGAGGATTCTGAATTTAGAAATTAACAAAATATTAATAGTTTCATACCACATTGCCCAAAAAGTTAACTTCTTGGAAGGGCCAAAGTCAGTTTACAAAAAAAAACAAAAAACAAAAAACAAAAAAACCCCAAAAACCCAAAAACCTTCCAAAGTCAGTATCTTGAGTTTTTAAAGAGGTTTTAATTAAAGGAAGGCTTCTAGTGACTTCATCTTGAATACATGGAGCCCCAAAGCACAGGTTAAGAGTCAGGTCCTGGGAAGCTGAAAGGCATTTTTCTCAAGCAAACACTGTTAAAAACAGTGTTGAGTATCCAAGTATGCCAAAAAAAAAAAAAATGTATCTTGCACAGTACCTGGTACAATAGCAGGGAGGGTAACTGATTGGTAGCAATAGTACTCTTTCACTCTGATGGAACCCCAGGTATAGCATTGATTCTATATGGAATTACACTCAATTCCAAAGTGGCACAGTAGACACAAGCACTGGATTTGATGTTGGGTGGAAACCCCAAGTTCAAGTCCAGCCTTCAAGTTCAAATCGAGTATTCAGTACCTACTAGCAAGTAACAAACTCTCTGCTATATCAAATGGGGATAAAAACAGGACCTACTTCCTAGTGTTGTTGTGAGGATCAAATGAAATAACATATATAGTGCTTCTACAAACCTCAAAATACACTGTAAATGCTAGGGGGCAAAAGTGTGAAATGACTTATTTTATCTTCTGCTACATTAATGAGCCTCAAACAGAACACAAGTGAAACACTGTATTCAATTTGGAGTGCCATCTTTTACCGAAAGCAATAATTGGAATGGTACCTGTTTTATCAAGGTAGGTCTCTTTTCCCTTTTAGGGGCAGAAGTTTTCTTCAGGAAGAAGTTTGGATTACTGTTTTGGCTTCCTTTCCCCTAAGGCATAAAAGGCTCCTGTTTTACTTTAATTCTCACTATTCAGCACAGACAGCCATTCTGACCTAGTGTTGCTGATTGCCAGGGGAAAGAGAGAGAGAGGGAAAGACAGGACTGCAGAGTAGTTCTTCATCTGAATTAATATTTCTTTTAATCTTTGAAATCATATCCTTTTTAAACCTTATTATAAGAAAAGTGTTGTTTGTTTGTTTTTATTGGACCGCAGGGAGCAAGATCATTTGCAGGACAGCATACATGCGGGCCATCGCCATGGCTTAGGAGTATAGAGGAGAGCCCAAGGTTGAGCCCTGAGGCAGACCTCAGAAAATAACAAAAGAAAGACCTGAGACTTGGGGCATCATACTGCACACCTCAGGAATAGAACTTGATTATACTAATAGCTGCTAAAAACAAAATTAAAATAAATAAATAAAAATGAGAAAGCAAAGGAGAAAGAATTCAACCATAGACAGCTACTATGGGGATAGAGAAGATCTGGATTCATATTCAGAGGAAGATAACAAAGCAAAACAAAGCCATTCCTTTTTCACTGAGAAATGTCAAATGGTCCCAAGCACAAAAAGAGTTCTTGAAGGAACTTAAAAAGGACTTCAAAAATCAGAGAGATCAGGGAAAGCTTAGGAAAAAAATAAGAGCAATCCAAGAAAATAAAAAAAAAATCATGAAAAGAAAGTCAACCAACTTGATATAGGGAATTTAAAACTTAAGGAAGAAAATAACTCCCTGGAAACTAGAACTGGGCAAAGGGAAGCTAATGACATTCTAAGACACCATGAAATAATAGACCAAAATCAAAAGAATGAAAAAATAGAAGAGAATGTAAAACATTGTATCAGACAAACAACTAACCTGGAAAACAGATTGAGGAGGAAATAATATAAGAATAGGTGGACTATATCTGAAAATTACAATTAAAAAAAAAAACAAAAAACAAAAAACCTTGATCCAATATTACAAGAAATTACCAAGGAAAATTGCCCTTAAGTTCTAGAACAAGAAGCAAAGCAGAAATAGAAAAAATCCACCAAACACTACCTGAAAGAGATCCAGTAGCTTACAGGAATATCATAGCCAAGTTTAAAAGCTCCCAGGTTAAACAGAAAATATTGGAAGCAACAAGAAAAAACCAATTTAAATACCATGGAGTTATAATAAGGATTTACACAAGACCTACAAGCTACTCCACTGAAGTACCGTAGGTCTTGGAATACTATATTTCATAGAGCAAAAGAGCTGAGGTAGTGACCAAGGGTAACTTAACCAGCAAAGTTAAGTATAATCCTGAATGAAAAGGAAAAAAAAAAGACATTTAATGAACTAAAAGACTTTCAGTTATTTGTTACAGAAACAGCAGAACTTAAGGGAAAATTTAACATATAACATCCAGGAGAAATATAAGGCAAACAATAAGGCCAATTATAAGAGACTCAATGAAGTCAAACTCTTCACTTCTTATATATGAAAATATTATCAATACTCTTATGACTGTCATCATTATTTGGGTAGTCTGAAAAAAAGGCTTGGGCTATACTATGTATGACGGGGTGATTCTAAAGCAAACTGAAGAGAATGATAATAAGGAGTAATTACCTCATACAAATGAGGCATGAAAGGAGGAAATGATACAGAAGCAGCTAGTAGGAAGAAGGGCAGGTAGTGCTGGAACCTTACTCTCATCAGGCATGGGTTAAAGAAAGAACGACATATATATCTAGAAGGGTATAAGAGTCTTCTAAAATCAAAAAGAAATAAGAGGGCTAGGGAATAGAGTAGGGGAGAAGATAAGGGAGGCACTCTTGGAGGGATAGGTAGGTTAGGGGGGCAAGGTAGAGTATAGAAGTAAAGCAAAGGAGTGAAGAGGAATAGGAATAGGGTGAACAGGATAGTGAGGAAAAATACAAAGGAGGAAAATACACAACAAGTAATTATAGCTTAGAATGTGAATAGGATGAATTTACCTAGAAAATGGAAATGGAGGGCAGATTAAAAATTTGAATTCAACAGTATGTTGCTTTCAGAAAATGCTATAAAAATGAGAGATACACACAAAGATAAAAGAAAAGGCAGGATTAGAATCTGTTACGTAAAAAAGGCAGTAATCATGATTTTACTTGATTAACTTTAACAAAGTTAAAGCTAAAATATTTAATCAAAAGAGAAAATAAGGAAACTACACTATGTGTCAGCAATATTATTTAATATTGCTTTAGATCATTTAAAATAACCAAACGGTATAAAATACCTGAGAGTATATCTGCCAAAACAGACACAGGAACTATATGAATATAAATATAAAACACTTTTTATACAAATAAAATCAGATCTAAATAATTGAAGTAATATTTATTGTTCATGGGTAAGTCAATATAATAAAAAAAGACAATTTAACTTAACTAATCTATTTATTCAATGCCATCCCACTTAAATTACTAAAAGATTATCTTACTGAGTTAGAAAAAAATAATAACAAAGTTCATATGGAAGAACAAAAGGTCAAGAACTTTAAAGAAACCAAGGAAAAGAGATATAAAAGAAGCAGATTCAGCAGTATCACACCTAACTATATTATAAGGTGAGAGCATTGTTGATGTATAAAATGAATTTCAATTATTTTAAATTAAAATTTTCTTGTATAAATAAAACCTATGTAGTCAAGAATGAAAGGAATGCAGAAAACTGGGAAAAAACATTCACTGACAATCTCTCAGATAGGATGTGATTGTGAATGGGCTGGAGTATTGCTGTAGTGTAGGAAATGATGAGCTGGTTAACTTGGACTTC